GACAGACGCTGATTTCAAATGGCGTTTGGATGAGCATCTGAAGGGGCTATGAAGGAACGAATACTTGTGATCGGACCTTCGACCCAGTGGTGATGGGGGCTCACACGGGTACCCTGCCCTCTACCCTCAATACTGAAGCTGATTGAAGGGAAAGTTATACAACCAGCACCTTGGTGCATGGACTCTGACAGATGTCTGTGTGGTCCTAAGAGAAAGTGAGTTGTGAGCAACCGGGGAAATGATTGGTTTTTCAGCAACCGTGAGTTTGTGAAATGACGGATTCGATAGTTGGTGATGTATACCGAACATAATTTTCTTCTTTTTATCATAGACCATCTTTATTTTCACATTAAAATTTCGCCCCAAAAAATACTGTGATGATCGGGCAACGAGTACGTAACCGCCACGGTACAGCTTCCAGATAGCCAAAAAAGAGATGGATTTTTCGAGCAATCCGATGGTCTCAGCTGGCATCTATCAGATCGGCTGAATGAGAGAAGGCGACCCAATGAGCCATATCATTGTCCAATGGATATTGAAGTCTCGATCAATGGTTGTTAGATGCTTGTCATGTTTATTTACATGACTTTTCAAATAGAATTAAATGTATCCATAGTTCGTCTTCGTTCTACCTGACTCTGCGCTACTCAATGGGTTTTCAGTCCGAATCCGAGTTTGCGGTTGTCGATTCCGATTCCGAATACTGCAAAACACGAGGGCATTTTTTTAAACAGACTCATTTTCTTCCGCGGGCACTGTTGCAATTTCACCTTCTTTGTTTGTACACTGTTACACTCGTTGATCTGGCCGCTTCTGTGCTCTCCGCGGCGAATGGTCGCGTGCTCGTACCAGCACCATTCTTATATCACGGTCCGTCCACATCATACGTCGGTTGCAAAGAAACGTATGTGGTTCAATCTGGTCGTTTTACTACTCAGCTCATGTTAAAAAACTATTTCAAGGTAATACTAATTAAATGAAGCAATATAAAGGATAGCATTGCACAGAAATGAACTATGACTCTTGGGCACTGATAGTGTTAACAGAATCATGGAAATTTGGATGGATATGTTGTATGCTTACGTGGTTCAGTTAACGGATTACTTGACAACTAAGAGATACGATTATGCTCAGTATTGACCTCGAAGTAATACCGCCTACAGTTCTTATTATTTAGACCGTAGAATCGGCAAATGGAGATACCTGTCAGTCAAACGTTACCTCGGAATTGTAGTTCTGAACTATAATATTTGTCAAAAGTGTTTTGCTATCTTCGTCTCATCCTCTTCTCTTTGAGCTTCCGAAATATCCAATTATCCATTACTTCTTCCCTCAATATCTCTTGTTCATCTGGTCATAATATTTTGAATAAAATTCGCGAATGGGTATTAATGATCGTATGTAGCGTCGCTTTCGCAAAGTATCTTTTTTCGAGTGACAACCTAGCAATTCTGCAAGAAATGTCCACTTCCAGATTTACTACTAAGAAGTTTTGCAGTAGTAAGACTGCAAAGTGGAAAACTGTTCGCCGCATAAGCTGCACGTACCACCCCCGTTCCAATCGAAACGAAAACAGTTAACTAACTGAAGATAGATCAGAATACTTCGTGATTGAAGTGGATCATGATTCAAATTATACGTCTCACAAGATACCGTTCAGGGTGTGACAGCGGTGTTCTCATACTGACAGTCTATCACTTATCACACATGTACCGTAAACCAAATTAGAAATAGGTCCTCACTTGCCCAAAGACAATGGTAATCAGCGAGACCACTGAAATAAGAACAGCTACGCGTTCTTCGCTGAATAGCCATTCGTATTCACAGCACCAAGGTTATTTTGATAAGCTCTCCAACTGCTACGCTACACATAAAAACCACAAAGCAACTAATATTCTTTTAATAGAAATAATTTACCTACACTCCTCCACCATATCCTATGTTCATGTTCGATACTTCATGTTGGAGAACTGCTCAGGCAACTATGCCAAAGCTCAAGTGGTGCAAGCCGGTCTGTGGTTGATAATTGGTATCAGCACAATTATTCCAACTGCTGGGCATCAGACAAGCACGGGCTCATTTTTCAGTGCGCATTTAGAGCAACCAAACTTGCATTCTCACAAGCTGGTTTCCATTGGTCACGACTCTATCAATACGTACCAAATCTACCTGTTGCGTAGAATTAGGTAGTGGGAGAGTTCAACTTATTGGCTGTTGCCATTTCATTCAGTTTCATTCTTATTTATTTGGTTATTTGAATGGAATTGTCGCGGTTTTTTACAGATGGTAGATAATTTAGTTGATCGGAAATATAGGATAAATTGGTTCTATCCAATTAGTGAAAATAGGATTATCCTGAGAATGTGATGCATCGCTATTCTGCTTAAAATGTAGGATGAAGAAGCCCTCCTTGACGAATACCTACTAGTTCTCAGCGAGAATGAAACAAAATGTGGGGAGATCAGCTGAGATCATACAAAGAAATTGATCGGACGCGATCGATATGACTTTCTGTGCACTCAAGCTACGTGTGTTGTTCACGTCCAAGCCAATTGTGTGTTTGCGACTGAAGGATAAAATTTCAGACTCTGCGGTCTCATTCTATGTATACTCATTTACTTGTTTCTGTGGAACAACGTACATAGGCCGCACGGTCACGCGATTGTCGGAACGGATTCATGCACACCACCCTGCGTGGCTAAACGATTAAGTCACTCACCAGTGAGGTGGTTTCATGTCTAGCTGAAACACTGTGGACGTGTCCGAGGCTTTCCGACCCCTGTACAAAGTTCGTGGGCAGGTTCGCTGTCGGATGCTGGCTACAGCAAAAGCGGTGGGTATTCGTCTGCATAACTCTCCTCCGTGTGCTCGAAAACAATTTGTGCAGGCGTTAAAGCTTCCTTGGCCCACCCTCCACACACCATATCACGAGTAACCTAGATGATTGGATTAGTAAACTAACAAATATGTGATCATGGTGATCCCGATTTCCGGTCTCATGATGAAATCGTTCATAGTAATCTGTGATTTGATTTTGTTTTTCCAAGACAATTTTATTCCCAAGTAGTGATACATATATATATATATATATATATATATATATATATATATATATATATA